GTGCGGACCAGAGCAGGGTGGAGGGCCAAAAGCTCGCTAGTAACCGCACAGAGTGCCATAGGGAAGGGCTGGCAGAAGGAGGCCGCGACCCACCACGCAGAAGCGGAACAGATACTGCCAAGCTGCCACGCCCGAAACCAAGAAAGCTTGGGACCATAGGCCGAAAGAAAAAGCGACGTGACTACACTGACTCTACGCAGGGCTATACACAGTAGCACACAGCGCCCGAGGAAAAGGCAGACCGTGGTAAGAGAGACTTGCGACCAAACGAAGTCTCTATTACCACAGCCCGCTGGGACAGCTGTGCTGGAAAGCCGATGCTGCTCGACAACATCAAAAGTCACTCGAGTTCGTTCTGGCAGGTGTCTGGTCCAACTGGCCTCATAGGCGAAGGCATGCGCAGCAAAACTTGTACGTGTGCATCCATTGAAGCATCCTTTGCCACAAACCCACGCAATGGCACCCCCGCTTCCAGGAGAAGGTCCGGAAACAACCATTCCTGAGCGGTAGAGGGGGCATATGCAAACGGGTCCCTGAGGTTCCCATTGGACAGGAGCGCAGCCACCAGTAGTCCCTGACGAACCTGTGGCAGAGCATTGGCGCATCCCCGTACACTGTGTAGAAATCCCTGCAGAGATAGAAAAAGCGATTGCAGGTCGGCATGAGCCGGGTCCGCCACAGCATTTCCCAAAGCAGTCCAGACCGATTCGGCAGTGCGAAGGACCACATCCAGCGCTTGAGCATCCAGAGTGAGCTGCATGGCCTTGTCTTGCTGGGGGCAGCAGCTGACTTCGCCCACCAAGTCGGCTCCGCTGTCCACAGCGAAACGAAGGAGAGCCAACCATGACACAACCCAGGCACTTTCTGTTGCAGTGGCCGGCAGTAGTTCTGGGTCGTCGTCGGCAACAGCAGTCTGGGCATCGCGCTTGAGGCCTTCGGGAGTACGTCCTGTGGCTTCCCCAGGCCACGGTGCACCCTCCAGGTCCCGACGTGGGCTTTTGGAGGGCCGATCGACATTGCCTCCGCTGCGTTTCCGCCATCGGCCACTTCGCTGACCATCCATTCCGGAAGGGGCCTGGCTGGATGTGTTGCCCAAGGGCCCAAAGCTCATCTCCGAGCTGTGGTCGGCAGCATGATCTCCAACGAACTGCTGAGGGCCAGAAAGCATAGGAACATCCGAAGAGGGTCCTGCTGCAGCTTGCATCCCGAGAAGGGGGCCACCTCTGTGCACACTTGCAAGCCCTGGCGCTGGACCGTGAGTCCCCGAAGGCATGGCCAGGGTCGTGGAGAAGGCTCGAAGAGCTGCTGCCAAACGCTGAACCTCCACCACTTGGCCCTCGGACCACACTGGTCCCAGAGACTGGATCGCACGGTCGAGCTGCTCCTCCGTGGTCACAGAGGGTTGTGCCGCCATGACTTGGCGCATTTCCTCCACTGCAGCGACCGTATCCTCGTCCACTTTCCGGCTGAGAGCATCTACACGGTGGGCAAGGCCCAAAAGATGCTGTCCCATTGTAGACAGCCATGCCAGCAGCGCATCCTGAAGGTCCTTCTTGGCGCGGACATTGCCGTTCAACCGCCTCGACAGTCGGCCCAGGGCGTTTGCACTCCGCTGGGCTAGTTGTTCGACGGTGGCATTCTCGGCAGTAAAGGCTGTCTGGCTCCACAAGTCCTGTGTAGCCCTGGTCGCGATCGATTGTAAGGATTGAACCATCGAGGGGGGCAGTCCAAATTCGATCTTTGTAACCTGCGGGTTGTCCGCTTTCTCTTTGCCCTTTCCTGGGCCGCCCTTCTGCGATGACTGGCCGCCAGCACCTCCTTGTTTGGGAGCCATGCTCCCGTGGTGGATCGCAAGCAGAAAAAGCTGCGCCGCTGAGGAGCGCCCTTTTCGCGCGGCCTTCCTGGCCTTGTGCCTTGCCCGCCTTTGACGCCGATGCCAGGCGGGACTGCGTGGGCGTCTCCGCGCCGTTGTCGTGCCCAAGCCAAAGCAGTCCCAATCCCAGCAATAAAAGCGGTAGAATCGGGAGGTACCTCGCCAGGACAGTCATAAAAGGCCGCACGGCCCGAGGGTTGGCTCAGTTAAGGCAGCAACCCAGAGCCCAGAATATCACCAGATACCAGGGTAAAATAACACACCAGAGAGCGCCTCTGGCAGTGGTCAGCTTAGTGAAAAGCAGTGACCAAAAGAAGGGGCCAAGCTGGCCCTGGGCGAGCCTTTCAGAGGCTGCGCCAGTCGCAGTTCACAGGGAATGCTGGGGTCCGGAATGGCAAGAGCGGGCAAGCAAAACTCCAAACGGAGAGACTAGCCGCTACCTTGCCTCGAGCCAGGACGCCTTAAACCCGAAACCCTAAATCCTAAACCCTAAACCCTAACCCCTAAACCCGAGACCCTAAATCCTAAACCCTAAAGCCCTAAACCCTAAACAGGACCGCTCTTTGTAATCATCTTGAGTAGACCTGGATCCCCCAACTACCCTTTATACTCTTGATAGAAGTGCATTACCTTAAGGACCCTAAACTATGGGAATTATGGTTTATTCCTTAGAAGGGTAATGCAGGATTTATATCATCAACCGTAGTAGTCCTTATTGCCTCATACCCTAAGGGTCCTAACAAATTGAGGAACCTCAAAATTGAGGGTTTTTGGAGATCCCAAACAGACCCAAGGACTCTCCCTAGGAGATTCCGGACCCTCCTAGGGAGATACCTGGGACCCTTACTTGGAGGATCATTGGACATAGTAAGTAAGGTTATAGGTACCCTAAGTGAGGTTTTAAGAATAGTTACCTTAATTATAACCCCAGTTACTAAGTCCCATGATCCTTTAAGTAGGGCACAGAAATCTTGGAGCCCTTTAAAGGCTACTTGGGGATCCTGGGAGGCCTCTTCCATAGCCTGGGCTTCGGGATACCATGCGTGAATACTTGGAGGGGCAGGGGACTTAGTAAGTGGGTTATACTTGGGGTAACTCCATTTAGGGTACTTATAACTCTACTTATAACCTCCTTACTAAGTCCCCTGCCCTTCCAAGTACAATTTTTCCTCAAAGGTGCCATATATGAAATGCATGTTTATACATTTTCTCGCTGGTTTCTTAAAAGCCCAGTACAAAAGACCCCTGCCCTGATTCCCGCATAGACTCAAAAAGCAGGTTAACTAACCTCTGTCTTCTGTTCCATGTCCCGAACAGTTTGCTTCAAGAATAGCACTCAGGGTTTAAGTGTACATCGAACTAGGTGCGAGGCCTGTTTCTGTCGTGTTTGCATCCCTTAAGCTGCCTTCTGTCTCGGCACTTGAACTATGCGCGTAGCCTTTGCCCTACGGGTCCATGTACCCAAGTAGTACATGTTTTGGCCTTAAAATAATGACATAGTCCCTCTACAAGTACACTGAGGCCAAAGCACATCGTGGACCCTTAGGGTTCGGCATCTGTACTTTCCCGCCATTTGCCCAAAGTGGGAATGAGACCTTCGGAAAAGACCCTCGCCGCTTGCAGAAAAACGGGCTTGCAGTCGTTGGTTTGGACACCAGTATGTCTTGTTGCGTCAAAGGTGTCGAAAGTAGTATGTACCCGATGGATCCCTTAAAGGAACCCTATACGTCCCTGAAAGGAGCCCTGTAGATTCCTTAGAAGGGTTTCCAGACTTGAAGGGTAATGGGACTTAGTAACTCGGGTTGTAATTCAGGTAAGTTTACCTATAATTACTTATAGCCCCAAGTAAGGTACTTATAACCTTACTTACTAAGTCCCATGATCTTCCAAGTAAGGGTAGTACGGTTGATGATATAAATCCTTCATTACCCATAATAAGGAATATACCATAATTCCCATAGTGTGGGGGTCCTTAAGGTAGTGCAGGATTTATATCATCATCCGTATCCCTAAACCCTAAAAGATGAACGCATCTAGTGGGGGAGCCCAGAGGCTCCAGCCCCGAGTGACCCCAAGGCGAATGTGGTTCATAGGGCTTATAGGGCTTAGGATTCCTTTCAAGGGTACTGTAAGGGTTCTTCAAGGGATCTGCAGGGTATAGGATTTAAAAGGACCCAGTAATTAGGTGTAGGTACGGACTTGGGAGAAGATTTTGATGATTAGGTACTTGGACCCTTGGGGTAGGGGTTTAAGGTTTAGGGCTCAAGATTTAGATTTCGGCTTAGGGTTCAGGTTTTAGGGTTGAAGGTTCAGGGTCAACGGCAATAGAACCCTGAAGCAAAGATCATGTTTTGTCGATGGACAAACTTCAGCGTCGACTCAAGTACCACAAATCAAGGGGAAAAGGAGGGGCCCTTAATGGGGACCCCTAGCCTAGAATGGGCTATATAATGGGTATATAATAATAGCTATATTAAGGGTATATACCTAGGGGTCCTCGAAACCCTAAACCCTAAACCCGAAACCCTAAACCCGAAATCCTAAACCCTAAACCCACCACTCCCCCGAAGCCTGCTCTCCTTCTTATTGCAGGTTTTGCTTGGCCTGGACTTGCTATGCAGCGGCCTTTGATGTCAGCACTGCCTCTGGCTATGTCTAGATCTGATGCGTGTTACAGGTTTCAGAAGTTTCAAAAGTTAGTGGAAGTAGTGCTCACGGCTGGGAGTTGTTCGATTACGGGGTTGGAGCTTCCTCTGTTGTTTTCGCCCAGTACAAGTTTGTAGTTTGAGGACTGTGTCCGTCAGTACTGTACCTTATTTGAAGTAGGCTTCTTCTTACGCAATGTGATTGACACTCATTACACGCCCTGATTATCCTCGCAGTGCCTAAACTCTCAGAGTCATTCCCTTCTGGTTGTATGGGGGATGAGAGCTAATGGCGACCCTTGAACTACAACCCCTACGTGAGAAGGAAATAAAACCAGGAATCTCAGACATGTGTCTGTTCGGAAAGGAGGTGAGATTTAACATAGAAGCTTGAATATTTGGACACTGTGTGCGTCCTCCCTGTATCGTGGGGGCTGTCCGCCTCCCAGGTTGCATTATCGGAAGCGGGCGACGACCACTTGATGGCCTTGCGGACGCAGCACAGGATGCATGTCCTTGGACTTACCGCTGTGGAGTCAGAGGATCACGCCATCATTATGCGCGACTCCACGGTAGCGGCATCCTCGCACGCCTGGGCGCTGCGGCAAGCCTTTCAAACCGGAGGGTACGACTTGGCTCTGTATATTCTCGGTACCTATCCTTCCATTTTGGAGTTCGCTGTGGATGAGGTGTGGGGGGAGCTTCAGCTACCCCATCTACTGGGCAGCCCAGCAGGAGCCTGGCGCGCTGATCGTCTTGCTAAATGCTGGTGTGTCTCCCAATTTTGAGCGTGACTTCACTACACCGCTCTTGGTGGCTTGCATGTATTGCAATATGAGCATTGTGGCCATCCTTCTGGAGCGACTCGCTGATGTGGACCAGCGTCCATTTGTTTCCTGCGGATTGTCAGTATTCCATTACTTTTCCAAAGACCCTATTCTAGTCATTGAGGCCCCTACACTGGATTGCCGGGTTAGAGCTCTAGCATCGCCCAAAGTAGATCAAGGGACGGACAGTTGAGTCGACGTAGGGTTTGTACTAGGCTTTACGGGTCCATATGTTCATATAGTCATATGGTGTGAACTTGGGCCCCAAAGTAACGAAATAGGGACGAAGTTGAGGCCTAAGTTTATTCTACGTGGGTACATGGACCCTTATAAATAGGCAACCGTACACAGCTCTCAATCTCACGAAGCCACCTTATGAAGCTTGAGGACAGCCTTATTGAAGCCGTACAGAGCATGGCTTAAGCCTCATAGAGCCACCATAAGACACTGGAAAGCTTGACTAGCCATACTATTCGTTACCCTAAGCCTCTAGGGGCTCCTCTGTTAAGGTCTTTAGTCCCAAAGAACATGCTCTATATAGGCGGTTTAGGGTTTAGGGTTTAGGGTTTAGGGAAGGGTTTATTGTTTAGGGGCTTGTTGGCTGTTTTGAGCCTGAGGGTGAGGATTGGTAGAAACTCCCTCAAAAACCCATTCTAGTTATCAAGACACCTAAACTCTACAACCCCAAACCCCTCAGCCTTAAACTAAGCTCTAAACATGAAACTGCCTTCAAGACCCTAAAGTTCGGAAGTCAGGTGCAGCACGACGAGCCCAGTCCAAGCTGGCAATCCTTATCAAGCTGTGCAGGCTGGGCATAGGATTTGGGGTTCCCGGATTAGGGTTCAGGGGTTTAGGGAATTCAGGGTTTAGGATGGAGGGATTAGAATGTGCTCTTTTCTAAACACAACACTACAACCCCTAAACCCGGATTTAGGAGAGAAAGAATGAACAGAGAGAGAGAGAGAAAGAGAGAGTGAGCTTTGGGTTCCCTAATAAGATTTCTGTATATAAGTCTTTAAAAGGTGGTTATTTGGGGTGGAGGTCTTTAAGGTCTGCGATGTACGGCTTACTTAAAGGATCATGGGCCTTAGTAACTAGGGTTATAAACAAGGTAACTCTACTTACAATTACTTATAATCCCAATAAGGGTACTTATAATCTTACTTACTACGTGCCCTGATCCTCCAAGTATATAGGCAAATAATTTGGAAAGGCGTCTCAGGGTTCCAGTCTGATGAGGACCCTGGCTCCCTTTGGGGCTCTCACAGAAGTCTTAGTTTAGGGTTTAGGGTCCAGGACCCTTAGGGCAGTACTTGGAGGGTCGGAGGACTTAGTAAGTAGGTAGGAACCCTAAAAGGGACCCTAATTGGGGTTATGGTACTTACAAGTCCTTAAAACAACCAGTTACTAAGTCCCCCTAAACCCTAAACCTTATACTCTTATATAGAATCCCTATAGATCCCTTTAAAGGAACCCCTAAAGGAATCCCTTATAGTTACTAAGTCCCCCGACCCTCCAAGTAGTGCTTGAATGTACCCAAAGACCCCGTTCGAAACTGTTAAGGCGCTAAGACTGCCAAAACCTGCATAAAGGACTGTGGTTTAGGGTTTAGGGCTTTAGGGTTTTAGGGTTTTAGGGTTTAGGGTTTAGGGTTTTAGGGTTTAGGGTTTAGGGTTTTAGGGTTTTAGGGTTTTAGGGTTTAGGGTTTAGGGTTTTAGGGTTTAGGGTTTTAGGGTTTAGGGAATGTTGCGTTGCCGTTAAGCATAAACCCCAAGGGTCCAAGTACCTGATAATCATATACTCTCCAAAATCCTAACCTACATAGTTACTATCCTAAAACCGAGTACCTAATTATTCCTTGGGGAAAGGGATGCTTGGTATGATTCAACATCCATGCCTGGAAAGCATTACCTAGAAAGCCCCCTCATCCGCCCGGAGAACGGCATGCGAACTTGGTGGTGGGATACAGCTATGCTGACGGAAGTCAGCGAGGCCTACACCCGGTCTCACAATGTCTACACGCAGCATCCTCCTTTCATGATTTTAGCGGCGCCTCTCGGATGAATGCGGTTTCGCTTCACTTGATGCAGTTCGGACTTTCGATCTTCGCTGAGGTCGACAGTCGCACGGCTGTTTGGTATGTATATGCAGAAGACGACAAGGACATCCTTGTCCTTGTCCTTGTCGATGGTGGCTCTGCCAAGAGGGCCCACGAGTCCAAGAAAATATTGTCTAAGGCATGCAAATCTGAATGGACCATGGGCTCGTGGATGCTCTTCCCGAGCAGCCAAGCGGATCTTGAACGCCGGGCGAATTTCACGACGCGTGCCGAGCCGCTGTGCCTAAATTTCCCGGGTAGAACGTTGATAAGGGAGTTTCCGAAAATTAGGGGTACCTTATTTGGGGTCCGTATAATATGGATCCTACTATGTAGGGTTACTATATTTGGTTCCCCTATTTTCGGCAACTCCCAAATTGGTTTAGTTCCACTCTGTTCTTCGTGGCCCAGGTGCGGAATCAACAAGCGCAGGCGGAAGGCCGCCAGCCCCCTTTCGTCTGTCATCAGAAGAGAAAATTGCTGGTGTGGCGCTTTCTTAAAGCGCGAGGCGAGACTGGCCACGTCCGGGAGACGTCGTCGAATGAACTGGTGATGATGCTGTTGTTCGTCATTGATTCAAGGGTATATAATAGCTATATTCAGGGTATATACCTAGGGGTCCTTATTAAGGGTCCCTTCTTTTACCCTTGGATAGAAACGCACCAAGCTCATAGGCACCCTTAGGGGAGTTGGGGGGAGGGGGGTAGGGGACTATACTTCCTTAAGGTCCTTATTGTGGGTATTAAGGCCCACACCCCCCTCCCCCCTGCCCCTGTAAGGGTCCTCACGGCAAGCGACCAATTTCTGGAAAAGGGGCTTCGGGGTCGTTGAGTCGCTTCAGGAGTAGGTACGGTTTAGGGTTTAGGGTTTAGGGTGGTTGTTAGAGAACCCGTGGATGCAACAGTCTCCGAAAAGGTTCCTTGTGCCCACGAAATACAGATTGGGCCCCGAGAATATACGTGCACCCCCCTTACCATCTGGGCACAAGCGCTCTTAGGGTTCAGGGTTCAATATTTTGGGCTTGTTTTGGTAGGGTTTAGGCATTGTCTAGGGCTCAGGAGTTTAGCTTTGGGGCCTGGGGTATAGGGTTCAGGGTTGGGTTGGGATTTAGGGGTTTAGGAGTTTAGGTTCAGGGTTGAATGGCTTAGGGTTCAGGGTTGAGGGATTGGGGGATTCTCGGAGTTGCAGGGTTTCGGGCTTCGAACGACCCAGAGGCTCACCATTGGTCGGTGCGAATCCCATGGATTACCAAACCACATAGATCCCCATAGCACCCCTAAGCCCTACACACCCTATACCCGAAACACCGAGAAATTATGCCCTTCAGTGAACATCCTAGTAACCCTAAACCCTAAACCTCCTAGTAACCCTGCTAGAACCGTTACAGTAACCCCCTTATGGAACCCACGGGACCCAATAGTACAAACTCTGAAGCCCATGCCTGAAAATCTTGAGGATCCCCGACAATATGGGTCTACAGTTAGGGGCTTACGGCTTAAGCTCTATACCCTAAAACCCCTCAGCTCTAAGCCCCAAACCCTAAGCCCTAAACCCACGCAAAAAGGGCCTTCAAAACAAAAACAAGCCCTAAACTCTGAAACCCTTAAACCCCAAAACCGAACACCCCTGAACCCGAAGCCCTAAACCCTGCTTGTTCTTCTTTGCTGCAGTGAGGTGGGCCTGCCGATGACAGTCGTTTGCATTCAAGCTTCAGGCTGCTCAGAAGGGAAGGGTTATGGTATAGGGCTTAGGGTTAAGGGGTTTAGGGATTTAGGGTTCAGGGTTTGGGTTTTGGGGCTGGGAAAAAACAGGGGAGGTGTTGTCCCTCAAGGTTTCTATATGGGTGTCATATATAGGGTCCTATAAGTATTTATGGGATTCGAGGGTTCGGGCCTTTTGGGGATCTAGTTTGGGGGTTAGGGGTTCTTAATATGGTTGTTTCGTGCATGGTTTTGTCATGGCTTTATATTAAGCCCTAACCCCCGAACCCTAAACCCTAGACTTACGGCTGACGATATACATCCTGCATTACCCTAAGGACCCTAAACCCTAAAACCCTACAGATCCCTTAAAGGAAGCCCTTAAAGGTACCCTTATATAAATCCCTTTTCAAGGAACCCTAGGTATCATCAACCGTAGGATCTATGAGAAAGGCTTTTGGGTTTAGGGTTGAGGTTTTAGATGCACGGCTCCGGTTTGAATGCTGAGGACACCTTCCAGGACCCCCAGGGGCCTTTAAAAGATCCCTTCGGCTCTTAGTAGTGGGTATTTTTTTTTTTTTGGGGGGGGGGGTGGTATATTAGAGAGTATATAGCTGGAGGGGTCTAGGTCGTAATCCTGATTTAGGGTTAACGTGCTAGAAATGATACCTACGGCCTACTTCCGAAGTGCTCTGATCCTTCATGTAGCGAGTTTGGTGATTAAGGCTCAGAAATGGGGTTCAATTTTTTTCGTCTTGCAAAGTTCGGGTTCTCAAATGCGGTACTCGAATTTCACGGGTTCTGGCGGTCTGGCACAGAAGTCATGCCATAGTGTAGCAGTAGATGTGGCTACCTTCTGAGATAATTCGGGATGCTCTTCACCCCCGTGGCAGCTGAAAGGTGGGCTCCCCGTTGTGGCTGTCGGTGCAGCAGGCAGGTGCCCCCCCACCGTAAACTGAAAATCCCTATTCAATCAAGGACTAGAAGTCTAGTTCTGTCGGGCCACAAAAACCTATTGTATGTGTATGAGGCGTCTGGGCTATTTGGAGCCAAGCATCTACTGCTTTGGGGTTCGAGGGTGCAGTCTCACTTGAAGCCCTCAGTCATGCCGTCGTGCCTGTTTAAAGGAACTTGCGGTGTAGATCAAAGGGTCCTAAGTATCT